AATTTTTTAACAAACTATTTAAATGAAGCTGCAATACTGGAATGTCTTTGAAATTCAAAAAAATCAATGTGACAATGTTTAAGAATTTTAGATTTTGAAACAAAAGGGTGGAAGTGTACCTCCAACTTTTACTAGTCTAATTCAGTGAAGGGCAGCATATTTGTGACTTGAACTATGAATCTGCAATTTTGGCTTAGTAAATTGCTGATTCTCTGCAGTAAACAAAACTCATAGTCCAGGAGGACTTTAGCCTTTAGACTAGATTACACTTACCTTAAGTAAACTGCAGGGTGAAGGTACATAGGTCTAATGAATGCATTCTTAGGAGTTTTACTGTGTAACAGAGCACTAGCATATGCTGCATATGTGTATGCCCACTGCTCTTCCTAAGGCGCTTGGGTCCTTGAAAATAGGAATCTGTGTTGCAGGCGCCCTGTTGACTTCCTTGACTCTTCGGATTCTTTACATTTGTCAGATGAAAGCTTGAGACACACACTGGTAGGGACCAGGAACCAGCTGGGGGAAAACCTCAGAACTACGAAGCCCTAGGGATAAGGGATAAGCAAGATTTGGAGGGGCAGTATGAGTCTGTATTGACTTGGGTAGTTATGAATTTTTATAATGGAAAAAGCCTTGAGAAATGGAGCTTTGCCACGGTTTGGAATGACATTTCCCTTTCCCCACCTCGAGAATCAGCTCACATGCTAACATAATGCTGACTGGCAATGCTTTATTTCATGTGCTTAAACATGTGCTTAAATACCTCCATACATATCATTCTGGGCCATCCTTCCCAAGATAGAGACTCCAATTATTTTAATGAAATTGTTTGGAAAAAGTGGGAGGTACGTGGATAAAACCACCATGAGAGTGCAGTATTCATGCAAACACCATTAAAGGCAGACTCAGAGGACATGATTTTGAGAGGAGTCAAACACTCAGCTGGACTGTGGGTATGTATGTAGTGTTCACAGTAGAGAATCAGGATCCATTCCTCAGACTTACCACATTACCTGTGCCTTCTTTTCCTGATATGAGAGTAAGACCTCACAGGAATATTGTGAAAATTAGTGCATGTAAAGAACAATGATGCGGAGATGAAATGATGAACAAGTCCAAGGTTCATTCTCTCCAAAATGGTTTTCTGCAAACTCAGTGACTGCTCTATGTACTTCTGCAGCAGCAGCCTTTCCTTAGCCAGTCAGCATCTCATGGTTGCTGTCAGTTCCAACCCTCCATACAAAAGCTATCATCTCACCAACCCCAACTACTCTGCCTTTCCCTCCTCAGAGCGAAAGTTGCCATCTCACTGACTCCTTCTCTTCTGAAGCAGTAGCTATCATGTCACTTTTCCTCACCATTCTTCTATGAAATGAAAAATCACTGTCCCACTCTCCTGCCACTACCATCCCAGTTCTGATACCCTCACATTAGAACACCATGTACTGGGGCTATTCGGCCCAAAGGTTTTGGAGTGGGGCTTACATCAGAAAACTGCCTATTCCACAGCAAGATCAGTGACATCTTTGGCACGTGACAGCAACAAGCACAATGCAAGCCTTTTTGGCATAGAGTGGGGAGAAGGATTAAACTCCACATCTTCACAGAGGCTCCTATTAACTCACAGTAGCATTTAAAGATGATAAATGGCTTTGTCCTCTATTCATTAGGCTACAGCACATGAAAGGTTACAGCCTAGTGGTTGGGATATTCTGCTGGGAGCAGAGAGGTCCAGATACCAGTCCCCCAGCTCTATGGAATATTTATGAAAAGTGGAAGAGCTTCAAAAGGAGAAGCCAACTTCATTTCCTCCATATCAACAAGAGGATACTGAACCTAGCTCTCATTTCCTGGATGAATGCTCTAACCACTACTCTAAAGGTTACAGGAAGGCACCACTTCCTCTGCCTGGTTTTTGTGGGTTTACATGTGCTCAGACATCTCCTGGAATATGTTCCAAACACAAAGAAAGTCTTGTTTGTGAATCCTGCTGGGGCTTAGGCACCAAGCTTCTGGGTAGTGACAAAACATAGGCAGCTGTGTGCATGCCCATCCACAGAATTAGGAGCCTTGAGGACTTCAATGCAGAAAATTATGTATCTATAGGCTTTAGACACTTACAGGGTTACTCAACTGCTGAGTGGGGATTTTGTGAATGCCACAGGTGCCTAAATGTTGAGTTTTGTGGGCTAAGCCCCATTTTGAATTCTAATGCCATGGTATCCAACCAGTTCTGAAGCAGTAGCGACTACTGCTATAGTGAACTAGCCACACTCATCCAGCCAAGTAGCTACATGTGGCTAGCATGTTAGACACCACGGCTCTAGCACAATACCAAAGATTGATTTTGTTGCCACTATTCTTCCCTGATCTCTTCCTACTGCTAAACAAATGATAAACCCTGAGACAGCAAGTTTCTACAGCACAAGCCTGAGTCTTCAGTGCTGAAAATAGCAGTGTAGATGTTCCCACTTGGGCTGGAGATTGGGCTCTGAAATCTGGCAAAGGTGGGCTTCAGATCCCAAGAAGGATTATCTGCACTGCTTTTTTTAGTGCCGTAGTATGAGGCCTACAAGCCTGAGACTGAGATGAACTGTTATGGGTTTGGTTTTGTCAGTTGGCATGTATGTGTTCTCTCTCCATAGGCTGAACTGGCACTGATGATAGCCAGCTCAGAAGACCTCACTAGCACATCTCAGGAGTCTTCTCTGAAACATGATTGAAAGTATGAAAGAAAACTGGAGGAACTGGCAAACATATCAGGCACAACAATTTTCATATTCCAGGCATTTTAAGTTATACTGAAGGGTTTTAGGTTAAAATATTTTTCTTCAACAAATATGCTAAAAATGGTAAGAAAATAATAAAGCCAGCACTGTGGTATTTTAATTACTAAAATCCAATAATAAATTTCTAAAATGGCAAACTTTATTGATCTAGGTCAGAGAGGGATTGGCCCATTACCACCTACATGGCTTCTCCCTGAAATAAGCTAGTTAGTTTACAGATGTAGTGTGGAGTAATAAAACAGGGAATGATAATCAGAACTTCTGGGTTCTAGTCACAGCTCTGCCACTGTGTGATTTTGAAATCGTCAATGGCAAAACATTTTCTGGAATATCCATTAATTTTGGACGTTGAAATCATCTTCTAGTACTAATTAGTGTTTTACAGCTGGTGCTTAATATCAGTTAGTGCTTTACACCCATGCCTATAATCATTTAGCATTTTACACTATCGGTCCCATTTGTACCAAGTTCTGTGAGTAGGAGCTTGCCTCTTGCTCACGTCTCAATTTTCCTTTATATTAGCAAAGTCTTGACCATTGCTAGCTAGGCCTCAGGCCTCACACTAGGCCTGTAGTACATGGGTTTACGTTCCAGGTTCATCCTACTTGACCTCTAATCCACTGTTGTCTGCAAATCAGATGTGCTCTAGTTCAAGTCTTAGATAATAAGCACGCTAGTGTTTTGCCAATGGACTGAGACTTGGGCAGTTTCTGAACTATATGCCCTACAGTTTCCAGACAATGTGTATCAATGGTACTTGTGTATTTAAGAGCAGGATCTGAACACTCATAGAAAGAAAAATCAATGTGGAATTTTCACATATCTATTTGCTAATGTTGAGTGAACCCCTAAATTAAAACATGCTAGGTTAACTTTAATAATCTGAGACAGAATAAAAGGGAGGTTTTCAGATACCTGTGGGTAACTGTTTACTTTGTAATCAAAGCTGAACCAGTTTTGGTAAGGAAAATGTGAAAGGGCATTAGTAGTTTTGGAAAAAAAATCCTTCTTTACCATCAATGCTTGGAATCTTGAAACGTATCAGCTTCTTGTGCACAGCTTGGGTGTTTTATTTTGTTTTTAAACAGTGATGTTGATCGTTACTACTGGGCTGCTTGTAATCAGAATACATGGACTTTGAAACTTATCCAGTACAAAGTAAAGCACCAAATACAGGTGGCTTGAGTTGAAAGCCAATAGTCGGGCTCTTAAAAGTATTTCCCACTATCATTCCTGAGACGTGATTAAAGTGCTGATAGGCAACACCAATGACCAAGAAGGAAAGTACACACTACAATTAATTTTCAAGTTGGCATTGTGGAACTGGTATGCACATGGTAGCCATTCACCAAGGAAGCAGTGAAAAGAGCCAACTGACATTGGCAGCTTCATGCCAGCATCTCCATGATTCTCAATTTAAACTGTTATCTTCAATGTTTTAAATTGAACAATTTCTATATAGACTATGTTCAGCAAAATCAAATTACTTGAAATATATTGAGAAAGTGACATTATCTTTCAAACCTATATTACAGGAAACCACTAAGAGTCCAGATTACATTTTGTACACCAATATGCAATACCTTTTATCCTGAAAGAGTTGTAAAATGTAGCTGAGATACAAGCTTTGGGTCCCACTGATGTCAGTAGAAGAATTCTAGCTGACAAATAAAAGGAGAAATGGGCCCCTATTTATAGGAATCTTTTCTTTTACTACCAAAATGCAGCCATTTCTAGCTAGAATAAAGTACAAAGCAGCACTACATAGTTTAGGAAAGGAAAGTAATATATACACACACATCTGAACTTATAAGAGTTTTACATTCACTTAATTAAATTAGAGATGGTATCTGGCCAGATAAAAATAGTGCTAGATTTTCATTGGACCTCTAAAGAACCAATATTTATTCAAAAAATATAACTGGTGTGTTTTGCAACCATTAGCCACAGTTCAACTACTTATAGCCTGAAAAAACAATAAAGCCACATTTGGTTAACTGCAAGCAATTTTATTGTAAAATCTAAACTATAAATTAGCAGAAAGTGGTTAAGATAATAATTTCTATCTTCCTTGCATAAAATACACCCAACCCTATATTTTCATAAGTAAGCAAAACCAGCTTTAGCTTTCAGGTAAGTTATTTCACCTGGATATGAATTAACTACTTTCAGCAACATTATACTTCAGAAACTGGAGTCAAGCAAGACAGTTACTGCACATGTATAGATTCCTTTACTTCTTGCTGTTTACATTGCTTCCAACTAGAATGATCACATCACACATACTGGGCAATTTAATTTTGAAAATCAAGTTACATTCTATCAATATGAACTCCACAATAGTTCACCTATGTTGAAAAAAAAAAAAAAAAATCACAGTGTAAGTTGTTTTCAGTAATTTATCCAGAAATTAGGTTCTTTACCCCCAAACTACTTGAAAACACATTTTTCTCATTTAAGTATTGAGATTAATTTCCAAAACTACACAAAAATCTTTTTTAGACGTAAGTATCTGCATAAAATCATTAAAGGGCTGGAGCACTGGTGTTAGAAGGCAATAGGTTATTAGAGTCAATCAATTTCTATTGCAGATATAAGAATAGCCACTTTTCATTACTGCATCAAGCCTGAAAGACGTTTCTATCTTGTGCGGACATCCGTTCATGTCTTTGACAGCTTATTCTCCAGGTAGGTGGATGTAAAATCCATGGATGGACCAACTGCACGTAGCACACAGTTTACAGGTTAGATTTTTCCTTTGAAGACACATGAGGTGTAGATTGTGTATATGTTCTAATCACATCCTAAAAGCAATAGGAAATGAATTAAGCTACGTAGAAAAAAAAAATTAGGGCAAATTCTATTACAAGAAAATTTTTAAATGTAAATACACTCAAAACATTGTAAAGAAATGAACCAGTGCTCAATGAAACATTTTTTGTTTAGGAGCCTCAATGTTTGTATTCCTTTATGCAATTTTAGTGGGTAAGGTTATCATGTTCTAAGCTACTGGTAAATAGAGCACTAAGCGTGTGCATGAACAGCATCTTCTAAAATATAAAACCACTACAATTCAGTCCTCGTAGAGCACCAATTAATTTGCACCAACTAGTAACAATTCTCTCATTGCACAGCTATCAGAACACTGAATTATCCCCAAGTAAAAACAAAATCCTCAAAACTACATTCCACCAAGATACAGTTTTATGAAACAAGCTAAAGTATTCATCCAATCAAAACCTTGTTAACTAGAAGGAATCCATCCCTAACATACCTGTTTGCCAGCTTCACCATTGTACTTGTCCAGCAGAGCTTGAATATGGGCACCATACTCAGGATGGACATCAGTGAAGTTTTTCACCTGAAATAGTAGAAAAATCAGGACATGCATGAACAGAAAAGACTTCTCAGTTTCATATTCATGCTTGGTTCTTGCCACCTCCAAGCCTCAAAATCAATACACCATATGTAAAATGATACAATCAAAAAGTCCCTAAAAAAAATCAAGCACTAGTTTATATCTGACTACTCCTGTTGGGATTCAATGTGAAAATATTTAAAAACCTGCACCAAAAACCTAAATTCTGCATACAATATTGTACAATTCTGCATATTTTATTCAACAAAACAATATAATCCCACTGGTTTAATTACTTTGGTAATTTATTTAGACAATGGCTGGAGAATGGAAAGTGGAAAGCACTGGAGGAAATCTCCAAACTCTGTTTAAAAATAACGTAGCTGGGGCTAAGTCTACACTACAAAGTTTTTCCGAAAAAACAGCCGTTTTTCCGAAAAAACTTCACTTACATCCACACTGCAATTGCGTTCTTTCAAAAAAAAAAAAAAATTTGAAAGAACAGAGGGTTTCTCTGACATTGGTAAACCTCTTTCTACGAGGAAGACACCTTTTTCCAAAAGAGCTCTTTCGGCAAAAGGCATGTGTGGACAGGGAAGAGGGAGTTCTTTTGAAAGAAGAGGAAAGAGGAAAAAGCACAGGTGCACACTGAATGGACGCTATCTTTCGAAAAAGCAGATCACTTTTTCGGTGCACTTTGGCAGTGTGGACGCTCTCTTTTGGAAGACTTTTTTTGGAAGATCTCTCCAGGAAAAGCTTCTTCCAAAAGAAGCCTGCAGTCTAGACGTAGCCTAAGTCTGAGCATATATTTTTCATTATTAGTCAACAAATATGTGCAGCTATATGCTCCGTGTTATACCATAGGTAACTGAAGAATCAAATGCCCAATTTATATTGGCTACTGACCATCTCCAGAAAGGTTAATAGCAAACAGCTCATGAAGCACACTTTGATAGGAAATTTCTTTAGTCCAAAAAATTAGATCTGTTCTAAATCACTGAAGTGCCATAAGCATTTATAAGGCCATACTGTCCTTTACACCTCTCTGGCTATGTTTTATACACCTGCAGCAATTCACAAAGACAATGGAAACAATTCACTAAGCAGGAAGGCTGCTTTTGCTCTGCATGAGAGGACAGAGTCTAACCTCACACCTACCTCCTCAAACACCCCAAAGCCCTGCCGTTCCATGCTCTCCAGTCAGGGGCAACTAATGAGGAAGGACACAGGGAGGGCACTGGCCACGTGACCACCCTGCTCTTGGCCCCATTTTTCCCCACCCCTGGTCCATCTCATTCCCCAAGCCTTTCAGCCAGTAATGCCACTCAGAGGACTAGTGCAGGTCAGCTTTCCCCCTGCACTCACCAGCAGCAATGGGGGCTGAAGCAGCGGAGCAATGCAGCTGCAGTCCATTCTGATCCCCACCTCCAGGTATTCACACCCTTCCCCTGCATGAGACAGCCAGGAGAGCAAAGCCACATTGCTCCACTTCTTTCCTTCCACTGAGTGCGGAGGGAGGTACTCTCTGCTGCTAGCACTAGGGCCCCCCCTCCGTTAGCGCTACGGGCTGCTTAGAGATTCCGGCCTCTTGCCCCCTCCCCCCCCACAGCATTTGGAGAGGGGGAGGTCATGTACTCCCTTGGCCCCACATCATCTATCGCCCCTAGTGATTTGTGTCTCTGACTGCTACAGGCCCCCAAACTTACCTGCCTGCACTGCTTGGGAGTGATGTGTGATCATTCTTGTGGCTTCTCGTTTGTTTCCCCATCAGAAGTCAATCTTCTGTGAGGAAGCAAAGAAATCTGCGAGGGACATGAATTCTGCATAGGCACAGAATCTCCTCAGCAGTAACATACCAGGTAGCAATGACAGAATCATAGGTATTTTCTATCCCTATTTTCTATGGTCACCAAGGACAATATCCTGATCTACTACAAATTAAATCAATCATTGCATAGATGTTTTCCATTGAAAGTAGGAATAAGGGATCTTCCAGAAAAGGGCTTATTTTCCGCAAGATCCCGTCTAGACTGGCGCTTTTCTCCGGCAAAAACCCGAGCCGGAAAAAAGCGGCAGCCATGTTCATGCAAATGCCGCGGGGGATATTTAAATCCCCCGCGGAATTTGCAATTCCGAAGTGTCTCATTAGCATCCCTTTTACGGAAAAGGGTGCCAGTGTAGAGACAGCCCTAGTGCAAAGCAATTTAATACCTTTAACATTCTGCTAGTTCACCCCACAACACAGGAAGCACAAAATCATTATACACTTTCAGTAGAAAAATGTGAAAGTAAGCTCATCATGTCAGCTGCTTTGGCATTCTCTTTGATGATTATGTACACAATATGTTAATTCTTTACATTCCACTGGTCATTCTTTGCATAAGATAAAGAATTGACACCTTACTCTCTAACTATACAATTTCCATTCTTCCCTTTTCATCAAACTGTTTTATTTACAAAGTGTGCTGATCAGCAATCCTGTAACCAGCAGAACCTGGACTTAAGCTAACACAGTAAGATGCTACTTACAGCTTTCTTCTGGATGAAAAGCTGAGCATCTTTAAGATGGCTAGCAATGTTCTCACACAGTCTTTGGCGTTCATCTTCTTTCAGCACTTTGGTATAGAACACTCTCACCTTCAGATAAAAGTCAGTAATTTAGTTTATATGTAAAGCAAAGCCAGTTTTTAAAATCTGATTCTATCAAAAGCTTCTTCTTAACAGTATTTAGCTTTAACTAGTCTTTAATCTGTTATAAGAAATTATGAAATACTAGTTGGTATTTTCCCAGCACATTCAAACTGCTTCTCACCATAATATACATCTCAAGTTTTTACATGAGAAAAGGAATAAGAAAAAGAGGCAAAGGGACCAACATGATGATAATGAAACTAATGCTTCTAAGTCAGCATTAGATTAAATATGCAGCTAGTCTGCTTCCTAGAGCTATTAACATAAATCTGCTGGATAGTTTAGCAAAAATAAATTATGAAATTTTTATCAGCTTTATAAGACACATTTTTACAAATCCTAACTACTCTTCCTGTTTGTAAAATAACTATTGGCCTATTTCAAGAAATAAGTTACAACTATATCTTTCAATTACATATTTCTCCTTCATGACATTATCTGGTAAAAATGAGACAAATGAGCTATCTAGTTTATGAATGAGATTTGCAGATGTCCTGGCAATACTGTTCATTTCTAGCCTGATGTCACAAATTGTGTGTTCACTGCTATTTGCCTCTTTACTTCAATTATCCTGTACATCAATATAATCCAGTTCTTTTGGAACTGAGTAATACTTAAAATATAACATTTGTATCACAGTGTATCTGCAGCAACTACAGTAAAACTCCAATAGTCCAGCACTCCTGATAGTCCAGCATCAAAATGGCAAGAGCTTAGTGAGTGAGCTTCGGCAAAAAAAGAGTCACAAGGTAACAGCAGCAGCAGCTGATTTGAGCAAAAAGGGTAAAAAAGGCTTTAAAAAACTAAAACATTACAGTATACTGTATACAGTATGTACAATTAAAAAGGGTTAAGAACACTTTATATACTTCCTGATAGTCTGTCATATCTGATAATCCGGCACCACCTAAGTCCCATAGGTTCCGGATTATCAGAAGTCTACTGTAATTACATCAAGCTTGGAAAAAAACAGGGCTAAATTCTCCATCTGGATATTAGTGTTCAGACTGGCTCCAAAAATGTACTATTTGCATTACTTAGTGTAAAAAACATTTTCTAACAATCCAATGAAATAACAATATTATAAGGTGAGTGTGATACTTAAGAGTAGGGGTGAAGTGTTACCCAAATACCAGGAGAAAATTGATGAAAAGTTGGAGATGTATATATTGGACTTTATAGTCTCTTTGGGTGTGTCTAAACTACATCCCTCTGCAGACAGAGAGATATAGATTAGGCACACTGCTATTACAAATGAAGCGTGGATTTAAATATCCCGCGTTTCATTTCAATAAAAATGGCCACCGCTTTTTGACGATGTGGCACTTTGCTGGCAAAAAGCGGCAGTCTAGATAGGGATCAGTCAACAAGGAAAGCCTTTTCCTGTTGCACGAGACATAAGGGATCGGTCAGAAAAGGCTTCCCTTGTCAACCGATCCTCGTCTAGACTGACGCTTTTTGCCAGCAAAGTGCCACGTCGGCAAAAAGCGGCAGCCATTTTTATTCAAATGAAGCGTGGGATATTTAAATCCACACTTCGTTTGCAATAGCGATGTGCCTGATCTACATCCCTCTGTTGGCAGAGGGGTGTAGTTTAGACACACCCTTTGAGATCACTTGTTTTATTGCTGTGTGATACTCTTTTCAAGGTGCAATTTTGCAGGCAGAATTTTAATCCTATAAATGTAAACATATGTTCACATGGCATCATTGTAGCCACTGTTGTAAGGTATTTGCATGTCAAGGTAAATATGTGCATGACAGATCATGCCTTAGCCACCATTCCAGAAGACAGGCTGATGATACTAGTTAAAAACATGCAATTGGACTAAATTCCTTGGAGGAGAATTGTGTGTCTGGCTCTGAGTGTTACCCGCATTTCACGTTACAGGAGTCTCAGATGACAACCCAGGAAATAAACAAAAATAAACTTACAACTACTTTTGTAAGTTGCACTTTCATGATAGAGTATGTATGGGACATATCCAGCCCACTTAATTAGCCTCCTTAATACAGTTCCTACAATTGATAAGTACTACTTCTGCTGCTTGGTTTGTTATTTCCACTCCAATTCATCTGCTTAAGTGGGTTTTGCCCACAAAAGCTCATGATTCTATATATTTTGGTTAGTCTTCAAGTCTAAGGTGCCACAGGACTACTTGTTTTTAAAAGCTGCAGATTAACACATCTCTGTCATGGAAAAAAATTTGAGGGGTAGATCACACTATAGTACTTGTAGGAGATGAACTGAAAATACAAATACAAATGTTTGCAATCTAAAAATAAAGATAATAAAGACAGCACTGTACGCACTTCGTATTCTGTGTTATAAGTGAAATCAGTATATTTAAAAATGCAGAAAATAATCCAAAATATTTATACATTTCAACTGGTTTTCTATTATTGCCTAAAGAACGATTAATTTTCTGAGTTAAATGTGATTAATTGACAGTCCTACTAGAAATGAATTGCATAAAGATCTTTTAAGGCCTCCTCAAAAACTGGCCTTTAGATGCTTCAAAGGAAAAAACATATCCAGATATCACAGGCAATGTAATAAGTCCTTTTCACATAGCATACCTGAGACACATTATCCTCATTTGCACTATTGAAGCGCTGCACATCACCTGAAACAGACATGCGGCTCTCTTTCCAATTGGGCTGATCTTCAGGGCCAGCAAAACTGTTTGGGTAATAATTTGGGGCACCACCTTTAAGAAAGAAGATCAAAATATCAGTCGTTTTAGTTTAGGAGACAGTGAAATTATAATGCATACTTGAAGGAATATATTCAAATTGATTTTAAATAATCCTTTTGCCTCATTATCATGTATGAAACTCCTATGCTTGTTTTTAAAATAATTACCAACACTTTGCTTAACACCACTCTTCCAAAGATGCACCTCAGCAGTTAAAACATCCAGCAGTCTTAAAACCACATCTAATATAGATGGTCAAAACTTGGAATTTTGAAAATTCATTTTTGTTCTAAATCAGAAAAGCAAAATTTGCTGTGAAATGGAAATTCTGAAAAAACAGAACATTTCACCTGTCAATCAGATTATGCACTGTTATTACTCGTGTAATGTAATAATGCTCCTAATATTTAAAATATAGTTTTGAAACAATATTTCCATTTTTCTGAAATCAAGTTCTCAAACACAAATTTCTATTTTGGAAAGAGTTTTGTGAGAAATGTAATTAAAATCTGTACAATTTCATTAAAAAAAGCTCACAACTCCACAGTTGTATCAAAGTGACATTTTCAAAAGTAAAGCTCAATACAAGTTTTCCAACCAAATATAATATCTGAATTTGAATCTATTTCCTGAGCTTCCTTAAAAATTTCTGGTATTAAAAATAAAGGCAGGATCTAAGCTCCACTCACTGAGTAGAGGGAACCTATTTGGTTCAAAAACTGAGCCATGACTGAGCCTCATGCAAAATGCCAAATGCTCTGACCACAATTTAGCAAAACACTTGAACACAAGCTTAGCTTTAAGCCTTTGTGTAGTCCCATTTATCTTAGATACCACTGACTTCAATGGGACCCCTCACATTTCTAACAGTTAAGCATTAAAAAATGAGCATGCTGTAGGATCAAGGCCTGAGTTAAAATGGCTGTTTTTAATCATTGAGCACCAACTTTTTTCCTTTAAAAAAAAAAAAAAAAATCACTTAAATCTGTAGTCTAGAAAATTAAGATATGGCAGGCTATATCTTAATTGTTTCTCAATGCCAATTCAGGGCTGCAGGGTTGACAGGTGCTGATAACTACACGTTAAGGTCAAAATTATTTTTCCCCGGTTAAAACAAACAAACAAAAAAAAACACACCACAAGTATACTTAAGACTAATGCTGTCCCTATTATTGCCAAATATAGTAATGTAGATATACTACACAGAACACCTTTTATGCAGTAGAATCCTCACTAATTAACTCTGGCAATTGGAAAAGCCATAGTAAATCACCAAGGTTTACAAATAAGCAAGTCAGCAGAAATCACAAACTCAAAGCTACTGTAGCAGAAAAAGCATTCTGGATTTTTTACATGTTTACTTGTTTGAATTATAAATAGACAACAGTGTATTTTATAAATAATAAAGAAGTCTTAATTTTATGGGATTTCACTAAAAGACTTGGCTGTTAAATCTTCACAAAGTAGATAGAGACTTCAGGATGTCAATAAGGATTTGGAATTGAAATTGGCAAACTAATGATTATCAAGGTTTTATTGTGAACTTACAATAAGATGACATTTGATTTACAAAACAAATCAATTTGTTTTTGTGTTTTCTGCAGCAGCATCCCCCTGTGTTTTCTGCAGGCCAGTATCCAATCAAGAATTACTGCTATTAGAAGTATTAGTTCCTGCATACCAATTTTGGCTGCTGTTGTGTGGCCATTAAGGGCTTAGGGTCAGTCACAGAGCAGCTCAGTAGGGGTACGTCTACATTTGCTCCCTAGTTCGGACTAGAGATGCAAATGTAGCAGGAATTTAAATATCCCACGTTTCATTAGCATAATCTCACCCACGCGTTATTCCGCTTAACAGCTGATTCGAACCAGGAAGTGCGCTCTGGGACACGTTAGTTCGAATCAAGCCCCTTGGTTCGAACTAACGTTACTTCTTGGGTTCCAGGCTTAGTGGATTTTATGGGCCACCTAGGCTCAAGGGTGGGGCCAAAAATGAAGGGTTCAATGTGCGGGACAGGGCTGCCAGCGAGTGGGATAGGGATGGGGGTACAACAGGGGCTGCGAGGTCTCTGCCTTAGCCACCATTCCAGAAGACAGGCTGATGATACTAGTTAAAAACATGCAATTGGACTAAATTCCTTGGAGGAGAATTGTGTGTCTGGCTCTGAGTGTTACCCGCATTTCACGTTACAGGAGTCTCAGATGACAACCCAGGAAATAAACAAAAATAAACTTACAACTACTTTTGTAAGTTGCACTTTCATGATAGAGTATGTATGGGACATATCCAGCCCACTTAATTAGCCTCCTTAATACAGTTCCTACAATTGATAAGTACTACTTCTGCTGCTTGGTTTGTTATTTCCACTCCAATTCATCTGCTTAAGTGGGTTTTGCCCACAAAAGCTCATGATTCTATATATTTTGGTTAGTCTTCAAGTCTAAGGTGCCACAGGACTACTTGTTTTTAAAAGCTGCAGATTAACACATCTCTGTCATGGAAAAAAATTTGAGGGGTAGATCACACTATAGTACTTGTAGGAGATGAACTGAAAATACAAATACAAATGTTTGCAATCTAAAAATAAAGATAATAAAGACAGCACTGTACGCACTTCGTATTCTGTGTTATAAGTGAAATCAGTATATTTAAAAATGCAGAAAATAATCCAAAATATTTATACATTTCAACTGGTTTTCTATTATTGCCTAAAGAACGATTAATTTTCTGAGTTAAATGTGATTAATTGACAGTCCTACTAGAAATGAATTGCATAAAGATCTTTTAAGGCCTCCTCAAAAACTGGCCTTTAGATGCTTCAAAGGAAAAAACATATCCAGATATCACAGGCAATGTAATAAGTCCTTTTCACATAGCATACCTGAGACACATTATCCTCATTTGCACTATTGAAGCGCTGCACATCACCTGAAACAGACATGCGGCTCTCTTTCCAATTGGGCTGATCTTCAGGGCCAGCAAAACTGTTTGGGTAATAATTTGGGGCACCACCTTTAAGAAAGAAGATCAAAATATCAGTCGTTTTAGTTTAGGAGACAGTGAAATTATAATGCATACTTGAAGGAATATATTCAAATTGATTTTAAATAATCCTTTTGCCTCATTATCATGTATGAAACTCCTATGCTTGTTTTTAAAATAATTACCAACACTTTGCTTAACACCACTCTTCCAAAGATGCACCTCAGCAGTTAAAACATCCAGCAGTCTTAAAACCACATCTAATATAGATGGTCAAAACTTGGAATTTTGAAAATTCATTTTTGTTCTAAATCAGAAAAGCAAAATTTGCTGTGAAATGGAAATTCTGAAAAAACAGAACATTTCACCTGTCAATCAGATTATGCACTGTTATTACTCGTGTAATGTAATAATGCTCCTAATATTTAAAATATAGTTTTGAAACAATATTTCCATTTTTCTGAAATCAAGTTCTCAAACACAAATTTCTATTTTGGAAAGAGTTTTGTGAGAAATGTAATTAAAATCTGTACAATTTCATTAAAAAAAGCTCACAACTCCACAGTTGTATCAAAGTGACATTTTCAAAAGTAAAGCTCAATACAAGTTTTCCAACCAAATATAATATCTGAATTTGAATCTATTTCCTGAGCTTCCTTAAAAATTTCTGGTATTAAAAATAAAGGCAGGATCTAAGCTCCACTCACTGAGTAGAGGGAACCTATTTGGTTCAAAAACTGAGCCATGACTGAGCCTCATGCAAAATGCCAAATGCTCTGACCACAATTTAGCAAAACACTTGAACACAAGCTTAGCTTTAAGCCTTTGTGTAGTCCCATTTATCTTAGATACCACTGACTTCAATGGGACCCCTCACATTTCTAACAGTTAAGCATTAAAAAATGAGCATGCTGTAGGATCAAGGCCTGAGTTAAAATGGCTGTTTTTAATCATTGAGCACCAACTTTTTTCCTTTAAAAAAAAAAAAAAAAATCACTTAAATCTGTAGTCTAGAAAATTAAGATATGGCAGGCTATATCTTAATTGTTTCTCAATGCCAATTCAGGGCTGCAGGGTTGACAGGTGCTGATAACTACACGTTAAGGTCAAAATTATTTTTCCCCGGTTAAAACAAACAAACAAAAAAAAACACACCACAAGTATACTTAAGACTAATGCTGTCCCTATTATTGCCAAATATAGTAATGTAGATATACTACACAGAACACCTTTTATGCAGTAGAATCCTCACTAATTAACTCTGGCAATTGGAAAAGCCATAGTAAATCACCAAGGTTTACAAATAAGCAAGTCAGCAGAAATCACAAACTCAAAGCTACTGTAGCAGAAAAAGCATTCTGGATTTTTTACATGTTTACTTGTTTGAATTATAAATAGACAACAGTGTATTTTATAAATAATAAAGAAGTCTTAATTTTATGGGATTTCACTAAAAGACTTGGCTGTTAAATCTTCACAAAGTAGATAGAGACTTCAGGATGTCAATAAGGATTTGGAATTGAAATTGGCAAACTAATGATTATCAAGGTTTTATTGTGAACTTACAATAAGATGACATTTGATTTACAAAACAAATCAATTTGTTTTTGTGTTTTCTGCAGCAGCATCCCCCTGTGTTTTCTGCAGGCCAGTATCCAATCAAGAATTACTGCTATTAGAAGTATTAGTTCCTGCATACCAATTTTGGCTGCTGTTGTGTGGCCATTAAGGGCTTAGGGTCAGTCACAGAGCAGCTCAGTAGGGGTACGTCTACATTTGCTCCCTAGTTCGGACTAGAGATGCAAATGTAGCAGGAATTTAAATATCCCACGTTTCATTAGCATAATCTCACCCACGCGTTATTCCGCTTAACAGCTGATTCGAACCAGGAAGTGCGCTCTGGGACACGTTAGTTCGAATCAAGCCCCTTGGTTCGAACTAACGTTACTTCTTGGGTTCCAGGCTTAGTGGATTTTATGGGCCACCTAGGCTCAAGGGTGGGGCCAAAAATGAAGGGTTCAATGTGCGGGACAGGGCTGCCAGCGAGTGGGATAGGGATGGGGGTACAACAGGGGCTGCGAGGTCTCAGTGGGAGGTAGGGTGCAGGAGCAGGCTGAGGGCAGGGTGTCTGGTCAGCAGGCAGGGGAAGGGAGCAGGAGCAGGATGAGGGGTGCAGGGAGGTGAGTGAGGGAGTTGGTGGTGTGGGGTCTCAGCATGGCAGTGAGTGAGGGGGCTGGGGATGTAGGGTAGGAGTAGGATGGGGGTAAGTGTCTGGACAGGAGGCTGGGGGCAGGGTGTTTAGCCAGGGGAGAGGGGGCAGGGTCTCAGCAGAGTGAGTGAGGGGACTGAGGGGGGCAGGGTCTAGGCATGAGGAGGTGGACCCCACGCTGGTACATGGCTCAGCCTCCCACTGCATCCATTAGCCAGATTCTGGCCAACTGGAGCACAGGGAAAGACTGCAGACAGCGCACTGCTGTTCCCCTAGTCCAGGAGGGGGAGTGCTTCTTCCCTGTGCAGGGAAGCTGGGGGCTTTCTCCACCCTCCCCCACCCCCCCACAAACACCTTAGAAGAATCAGTCTGGTCACTGGCTCTTGCCCCAACTCCACCATGGGCGACAGCTCTGGCTCAGGGCTATGCGGCAGCCACACTCGGAAGCAGCTCCACAGGCTGCCTCCGGCAGGGGCAAGCAGGGGGACAGCGGGGCCTGGGTGCCTCGGGCTCAGTGCTGTAGTGCGAAAGAGTCGAGAGAGTCTTGAGCAGCAGGCTTATGAAGCCGTTGAGCAAGTGGGCCGATCACAATCTGCCTGACCTCAGAGCAGCCACTTACTGAAGGGCTGCCAGGGCTGGCTATCCTGGGGCCGCTCACCGTGGACCGGGAGGAGGATCCACTGGTGTCTCTGATCTCTCCCCTGGCCACCAGGAAGGTGCGGGGGGAGTCACACAGCTGAGGGGTGGCAAGACACAAACTTTTCCTGCAGGATGCACAGTGACATGCTGACATCGCGCTGTCATCCCACAGGAAAAGGGATTTTTAAATAAATATATATAGATATATGAGAGAGAGAGAATAGAAGTAAGTATCATAAATATTCTCCTTCAAATTTCAACCATGACTTATGTAAACACTCAGAAGAAATCAGTTTTAATAAAGATATTTCTAGAATTGTGTGTGTGGATTTAAACTAAGGTTTTTCTTTGGAAAGGGGGGGGGGGGGGGGGAGGCCCCAC